CGAGACCTCATCTCTACAATAAATCAAAAAATCAGCCGGGCGTGGTAGCGCATACCTGAAGGATCGCTGGAGCCCAGCAGGTCGAGGCTGCAGTGGCCGGGAACGGTCACTGCACTCCAGTCTGGGCGACAAAGTGAGACTCCAACTCAAAAAAAAAAAAAAAAAAAAAAAAAAAAAAATATATATATATATATATATATATATATATATATACACACACACACACAGACACTTCTTCTGGATATAAATCTGAAGTCCTTTCCTATAATACTACCAACAAACATGTATCCCTCACAATACAACTTCTAAGTAAAGAACCCATTTCACAACAAATGAAATGTAGCAGTGGGCTTATAACTATGACATTCATAGATCTTTCCATGTACCAAGTCACCTAGAAGTGGGTGGCTTGACAGAATAATATAATGACCTAGTAAGACTCAGTTATTAGTCCAGTTGGGGGACAAGACCCTGAGAGGGCTAGGTGCTATCATACAAGATGTAGCATATACTTTGAACCAATGATCAGCTTGTGTTATTTGTCCCAGTGCCAGAATACATGGGTCCAGGAATCAAGAGATAAAAATAGAACTGATTCCTCTCAGATTATACTTAATAACCCTCTCAAAGAATTTTGTATTCTCATCTCTGTAAATTGGGCCATGCTAGTTCAGAGGTCTTAGTTCACAAGGAAGAAATGCTTCTACCGGGCACATTAAACAGCTCAAATGAATTGGAAGCTGAGACTGACACCTAGATATATTAGTTTTCTTATGACATTAAACCAACAGAGAGGTTTCTGTAATGGCTGGGGTGACTAATCTAGATTATTACAGTTTTATGAGGTTTCTACTACACAATGGGGTCAACAAGGACTATGTAAGAAACCCAGGGGATTTTCTGGGTTGCCTTTTAAGACTGTCATTTAATAGTGAAAATTATAAGCAAGCCAGCTACTAAGGCCTCACAATGGCCCAGAATGGAGATTCAACCACCCTAGTAGGTAAAAAGAACCCTCACCAGCTAAAATGCTGACCAGGAACAAAAAAATAAGGAGCAGAGGAAGAAGTTACAAATATCAACTACAGCTTCATGACCAGTTACAGAAATAAGTACCAAAGTAGATAGGCAGATCTGCTTCACTGTGTTCTGTACATCTCTGCATATAGTAACTATCTTTTTCCTTCCCTTTTATCATGCTCTATAAGGAGTACAAAGAGTGTCGGTGGTAGTAAACTTTACAGTTTAGTCTTCAGACTACAGAATATCCAGGTGGGACTGTGACTAAACTAGAAGAATTAACAACAATAAGGATAATAGTAACTGGTAGAACTTAGTTTCTCCCCTTTTTGGTGAGAAGGTGAGAGTTTCTTCTTTGTACAAAAGATAGTTAAATCTGCAAAGATAAAAGCATAAAATTGTTATTGCTGCATAGAAATTTAAATATGGGCAGAAGGATGTGTGTGGAGGCTTAACAGCTAGAAGGGAGGGTTATGCTGACTCTACTGTGGGTACACAACTCCTTCTCCCCACTTCGCACACACATACCCATTCTCCTAGGGTCTGTTCTGATATTATGAGGTTGAGATTCTTCAAATGACATTACCCAGACTTTTATGCCCAGCTTGATTCTTGCTAAGTTTGTCAATAGCAGGCACTTCTGGGAGATCATAAGGTGACACCATGATAGTTGTTGGCACTTGCTACAGTGGCAGCAAGGGTGGAATAATTCCAAACTCCAACAGACCAGAGACATTACTGATTAGCTTGTGAAAATTTTAGCTCTGGTCTAGGTGGCATGTGAGCAGATCTAGAACAACCAATTACAACAGTCTCCCATAGTGCTACAGCAGACACAGGTTCTTAGATTTTGAACTCTGAGAGTCTCACTCTCCTTTTTCTTTTCTCCCATCTGGCCCCACTTCCTTTTGCTCTTAACTCCTCCAGCCTTTTTATCAATTCCTTTTTAAATTTACTTTGCTTGAAGTACCTGGACTTGTTTCTGATTTCCAAACAGAACCTTAACTTGATTTTAACCATCCGTTGAATTCTTACATTTTTTTCAGTTCTAGAGTTACTGTTTTTTGGTTTTGTTCAAAAATGCCATCCCACCTTTGCAAGGTCTAACTCCAGTTTCAAGCTTGGATTTTATCTCCTTGAATGTATGAAGCATAACTGTTTCATGATCTATGTCTGATAATTCCAGTATCTGGAGCTCCCATAGTCTATTCCTATTGGCTTTTCTGCTGTTTCTTACTATCTTAATTCTTCACGTACCTAATGACCTCTGATTGTTTGCTGGTAATGAATTTTAAAATAACTTATAGATATAATTTGAGGCCTAGGGGGATGTCATCTTCCTTTAAAGATTTGAAGGATATGAGAACATTAGAATCATGGATTACCTTAGTCCAAGTTCAAGGTTTAAGATTTTCTGGACCAACCAGACTCCTCAAACTTTATCTATAGTCTAGGACAATGTGTTTATTTACAGTTCACTCTTATTCCTACAGGGAAGTCCTTCAGGGGTTCCAGCTCTCGATACACCTCTTTTATCCTCCAGACCCCAAATATACTCCTTAGAACTTCAAACTGCCAAAAATTAACTCAGCCATTCAGCTAACTCTTACAGATTGGCAAATGTACCCTAGGAAACAAACAGTCCTAAGTGCTGGGTTTAATTATCTGAATTCCTCTCTATTCCCAGGATTAGCCCAACAATTTTGTCTTCTTGACTTTAATACTTTTAAGAGGACGTATTTTATCTTTTGTTTTTAGTTTGCTTTAGTAAGAAGCAGGTCTGCCATTACTGAAGTAGAGGTCCTAATTATCTTTTCATAAGTATCTCATGCTGAAAGGAAAGCAACAGAATTTGAGGCAAAAATACCAATGAAAACAATTAAGATTCTCTTCCTCTAACACTAAAGAAATACCAAAGAGACTTATAGCTTTGGAGTATATAATTTTAAATCTTCTTTTATTCAGAGGTCAAATTACATTTCTAGGTTTAGTTTTCAATTTTGACATGTATATACGTGTGAAAGACTTAGATGTAAACGTCCAAGCAATAATAACCAGTATTTTAAAAAAAAATTTTAGCGGAGAGAAATATAACAAAGTTGGAGAAAGTCAGCTAACATTCAAGTTGACCTGATTCAAGCTCTTCTTTAGGGGAAGTCAAATTTGAAGATGAAAGTTTGAAATTCAATCAAACATGAACAGGACGATATTTTGCAGAGAAGGTAAATTAGAAGACTAGAAATTCTGCTGTAATATAATTCAAACCCAACCTTCTACTATTGCTAATATCACAGCCTTGATGGTAATAGTTCTTAATGTTATTATATTGTGATCCCCCTCAACCCATCTCAACCATATAGCCAATATTCTCAATCCTATTCTTGTTCATTATTTGAGTTTTCACTAAAACTACAGGAAACCCAACGAAGTGGTAATAATGACCAGTCCAAAATGTCCAAACCCATTTTCTCAGTTTTGCATACCAGCAAGGCAGCTTCTTGCCACAAAGGCTCTTCCCATAAAACAACCTAACTACATTTACCAGTTCTCCAACAAAAATCATAAACACCCTAGAAGGAGATTAAATAAACTGAAAATCTCTCTTGTTTATAGAACCCCAGAAAACAATCAATAGGTAGGTATAATCATAACTACAAGGATTCCTGAAAATGAGACAGATTGAACTGCCATCATCATAGTAGCACCATCCAGAAACATGACTCAGTATGCCACGTTTTCCTCACTTTTCTCCCGTCAGTTATATTTTACAGTGACATCACTGTACTTCACAGGCGGCAGTGAGAGGCAGTCTCTTGGCCTTTCTTCCATGACTCAGCCCCTTACCATTCTAGGTAGCAGCCCAGGTAGCTTCATGCACACAAATACCCTTTCTCAGACACAAATGCTTATTTACATCTCTTATAGATTAATATAAACCTTTGCTTTATGGCTTCATCTCTTCTTAGGTCATAGTAAATATATTTTACCATGCTTTAACTGATTTTATAAGAAATAAAAAATAGTATCTTTATATCATTTCCTCTATCCAGCAAGTCAAGTTCATTGTGTGTGAACAATTTTCTTCTTGTAAAACCAGAAAGTACATTTTTCATATAAGAATTTAATCTAAATCAACTCTCTAGCCCTATAGCTAGCAAGTACCATGCTATTCTGGCACAAGCCCCCCCCCCCCCCCACCAAGCAATTATAAATCAGATTCTACAGAACTTTGTACTTAAACTCAGAATTTATGAAATTCCACAAAAAAACCAGTATTGCATTTTTCTGAACATTTATTAAAACAGTAGACATTAATAAGGTGAATAGGGGAAAATGATGAGCAAATGCTAAAAATGTAAACATGAAAAAAGTAAACATGAAAACAAATCTTTTTTAAAAAATCATTTAATTACAAGAAAATTGGCCAGAAGTATGCATAGCTCCAAACAAATTCTCTGAATGAAAACAAGGTCTCATTTACCATCATCTTTTTTTATTTACCTTTTACATATTCCATCTACTGAGCCTAGTCTTTCTTAACAAACATTAGAATATACCAGGTTTTTCAATGTTTAATATTTTATAAAATGAAACCGGCTTTTTGCTCCTGAAGTTAGGATGATAGCTATCATTCTGCTTTTGAGAAACTTTAAAATTGCTCCCTTGTGACTGTTTCAATTAGCCACTCCCAACACCCAATGCAAAAACAACAAAAGACACTGCTACTTTACTAAAAGATTCTTGACTTCCATTTCATTTTACCAGCCCAAGTACAAATTCGGTAAAAAGCTTCTTAAGTCCTGCAGTTTCAAATTCCTTTTGTAATTCATCCAACGCTGAATACTCTTTGACTTCAAATGCCAGAAACCTGCATTATACAAGAGAAACTCATGAATATGCCTAGATTTGTCAGAGTATAATTATCGATTCAGTTGCTTTTCCATCTGCAATAGTACTAAATTATACCTTTTGTGTTCTGTCTGTGCTTTTGTTTCAAACAGTACACTAATCATTTTCTCTTTGCATTTTTTTCCACTTGAGTCCACATCTACTTTGGAGCTTTTCTGAAGAATCAGGTACTCCTAAATGATAAATCAGTACGTTAAATACATATCTTACTCTGAATCTCACAGTCCTAGTTTTAAAGGAGCCATGAACCTACAGGCTTAGTTTCGGCTTATTAAGGTCTTTCTGAATCAAGCAGCAAGTGTTCCTGCATAGTTGGCAGAATAGTGTGCTAGTGGATGCAGGAGTAAAGTATAATGTAATCAAACTACTGAAGTTTTAGCCTGGATTGGACCATTTCCTAGCTCTGATCCCGGGCTGGTTATTTAAATCCTCTGTGCCTCAGTTACCTCATCCATAAAATGAGACTAATAACAGGAGCTACCTCATGTAGAAGTTGTGCTGATTAAATGAGATGATACATGCAAAGCACTAAGGAAGTAATTAACATATAGCACTGGAGTACACCTGAGAGCACATGCTACTGTTGCTACAAATTCAGCAGCTAAATGTCATTCCAAACTGATGGCATCAAGAAATACACACCTGTACATTCTCAATCCTAGTAAACACTCTTATAAAAATTTAACAGAGAAATTTACACAATATGACATTTCAGAGACAGCTAAGAAAATATTTCTTAGAAAAGTACTATTTTTCTACATTGGCAGAGTTCTGGACATATGAATAAATCTGAGTAACATCTGCAAAACAGCTACATTTAGTCTAGCCTTCCTGAGCTAGCTTAAAGAAAAATTTGAGCCTTTGGGTAAACATGAGCACGAAAATTAATTTGTATTTACTTTTCATCAGTTACTATTTTACCCCAAAGGACCAAATGTTATAGATATACTATAAATCACTTTAAAATAAGTGGTTCCTCAATCATGCCCCAATCCAAGATATATACTAAATTTGAATTATGGTTGTATCTATATCCTGTAATCCAGCATGAATCTGTTGTATCTATATACCAAAACCAAATGCCAAAGTAGTTTTGTGGTAAGAGCCCATCATGAATAAGCTAGGTTATTATTCCACAAATCTTTAAAATTATAGGTTGTTCATGTCAATTTGTTTTAAATAAATTAAAATGCAATTATTTGTGACCCAAGCTATCTGAAGGCATAACACCTATTAAGTGATTTGTAGCTAAGATTTAAAATATAATAAGCAGTTTTCCTCATCCAGTCCCATATAAAACAGGTTAGATGAGTTTAGAATAAGAACTTGAAAAATCTGAAGATGATGATTTTGAAAGCAGCTGCTGAGACAAGTCAGGTGGAAAGCAGAAGTTAGGTAGGAGGTGACAAGCTGACAGCCCTAATGATTCTACTTCTACTAACATGAAATCTCGGTTATAAGGGATAAGCTCCTCTTTCCAGGTATTATAGACACTAAATTAAAGTGTCAAAATGTATTTTTAACTGCCAGAAAGTTAAGAATTTTGCAGACTACCCACAAATATACACCTTGCTGTGCCTAACTATGAAAAGAAAGATTAATATGCACCCAACTCAGTGCACACATATAAAGTTGAGGCTCACAGCTAATTACAGAAACAAACACTCATGTGCCACAGAGATTTTTGTATAACCTGTCACTTTCATTAAGTGGTATTGTTTTTAAAATATACTTATTCTTCAAGCTTTGCAAGTTTGCAGTTGTAATTAGGAGTTACCCATTCTTAAAAAAGAAAATGAAGATCCATTAACATGGTAATAGTGAAATCGAAACATCTCAATGATTAATCTACACCATTGCTATAAAACACACTTAAAGATACATTATTTTAAGCAGAAAATAGCCAGACTCATATTCAACATTTAACTTTTTGGCACCTTGATGTTGTGTCTGTCTCCTTGTAGTAAAATCAGTATTATTTTACCCATGAACATCAGTCTTCCCGTCAGCCTTAAATCTGAAGCCCACTTCTCCACGGTTTTGACATATTTAGTCTTTGCTCTCATGTGATCTAAATGCAAGAGAGTCATCCACAATCCATCATCCACAGTCGTGCTTGTTGAAAAAGCACACTTTCCACTGCTGCTTCCAGCCTCTGTTTGGCTGAGGATGTGCCTGAGGTTCTGCTGCATCCAGAGAACCAGTCGGTGAACCATAGGCTCCGACAAAAGGTCTTCTGCCTGCTGGAGCAATGTCTCTTTCACAGCTGCACACTGGGTCCTGGTCAGGTGTTCAGAGTGAACTGAGATGCATGGTACACAGGAAGGGTAACTGGCCGGTAAATGGAACACCAATTCTAAGGGTATGTCCACATTCATAGGTCCTTCGCCTTTTGTGTGAATTCTGAACACGGTCCCATCTGTCTCTGGAAGACATTCAAAAATAATCACTAGCTGTAAATTATTCAATTTGAATGGAACACTAACAAGTTAAAAGTTTTGTTTCAAATGTCAATTTTATTTTTCACAGGAAAATTCTGAGCTATTTTATGAAGAGATACATAATACTAAGAAAGTTATGATTTACAGATTACTTCTGGTATGTATTCAGTCATACCAGCACCAGGACTTAACTGATATTTATACTTGCTATCACTTCATTTTTATTAAGTTACCAGAAATGCTTTCATTAAACAATTTTTTTTCTAGTCAGACTTGGCTGATAATTATGAAAACTTTGAAGAAACTTTTATGAGCGTTCTAGGAAACAGTACCATGTGTATCCAAAATCAGTAATTAATTAAAAAGTTATGCACTAAATCCACGGAAAGCCCAAGCCAAGGCAAATACTGGAATACCATGTGGTCATAGGGCTGCAGAGAAACTGATGACTGTAGGTGATAGTAACTTCCTAGACTCTCTCTTCTTGTTTCAAACACATCAGTATTAGGGCAATATGAAGGTAGCAAGACAAACTGAAATTGAGGGGACATCATGCTATTTCTTCAAGTTCCCTAAGAAGGAAGGGAATTGCATATAGGACACAAGATTAAGTGCTCTGCTCTCTTTCAGATTTGCTCGGCTTCACCCCTCTGATGTGTTCCACATCACCTCACCCCACTTTTCAAATAGTTGATGAAACGTCAGGTCGACTCATTCTGCAGGGGCAAAAGCATACAGTCATAAGTGCAGAGTAGAACAGAACTGGGCACAAATGAATCTCTGAAGCTAGCCTGCCTCTCCCCACCCCTACTCCTTTCTACATGCAGCCTTATTGTATTCTTCTGCACCAGTCAAAAGAGCAGTCTACTCTTTCTCATTTTCATACCCATATTGCTGCTCAACAGTCTCAACAACTGAAACCTGAAAGTATCCCGATTTTAAAGAACCTAACAGAACATTAAAACTGCCTCTTTACCATCTGATTCCATTTACATAAAGGCCATCATTACAGACATTAATTCATTCAGGACAAGCACATCTTTTACAGAGTTTTTCTTTAATATATTCTTCAGTACCAGCTGCAAGGAACTACTATTCTAGGTCACCACCTGGAAACATAGGAAGTAACCATTATAAAGACCATATAAAAATGATGCAATTTAAATTTGTACTGCATAAGTAAAATATGTACTGTATAAAGACAAATGTTCCAAATCTGACTTAGTACATTCCTCTAAAATTCTTCATGTTTCCCCAAACCGTTTTCTCTTCTACCTAGTTACTTATCCTTTTTAAAAAATGTTTCATTGTTAAAGTAGGCTCTCTAAACATCAGTGAGACCAAAACATTCTTCTATGTGAAATAGGCATTACAAATAGGCCTGCAGACAACATATGACCACTAAGTTGAATAAATGCCCCAGTAATTATCTGGGGAGTTTACATTCTCAATCAAGGAGAATGTACAACTTTTTAAAATCTTCATTCATTCATCATTCAACAAATATTCTCTTCATTGATTCATTGCTCAACAATCACTGAGTGCCTACTAAGTTCAAAGCACTGTACTAGTCTCTGAGGAAAAAAGATGGGTAAGACACAGATTCTGTAATATTGACTCAATCCAATGTTTCAGAACATAAAATGGTGGGCATATCCCAAGTGACCTTCCTCAATTTCTCTTCTACACCTAAAAATATTTTATTTATAAATCCATATATATATGATTTATATAAATATAAACGTGTGTGTTGGGAGATAATTCTCCAGGGATCTGGCATTTCTGAATGTCTTCTGAGCCAAGGGCATCCATAACTTTTGATAGCTTTGTTCAAGGATATTTATTTAAAAGCCTTGGAAGCTAAAGAGTTTCTCACTCGGAGGGCAGAATTTGTTCCCTGATCAGTACAAGATCACATATTCCTTCAGGAAAAAGGCTGAGCAGGATCACTAACAGCCCTCATAAAACTGGACGGCTCCTGAGCTCAGTGCTCCTCAGCTGTAACAAAGAACCACTGTGTGTGCAGTGCCTACCTGGGCCCATCTCCATATCCCCCTCTGGGACTTGGGCGCCAAGGAGAAACAGCAAGAACAAGCAGCTCATGCTCCTGCTGTGCAGTAGCAGTAAACTGTGCCAACCATCTGCGTGCACCAACTCCCTAACTTTAACCTACAGCAGCGGCAGCATGCTGGTGGTCTCATGGCTGCAGTAGACACTGCTGCTCAGGAGTGTTTGGCCACCTGACAGTATACACATTTGTTCTCACCAGCTCACTCTCTTCTTTTCACTCTTTTCTCTGAGAAAGAAGTCTTCTTCCCTTCCCCAGATACACAACCATCTCTAAAGCACTCTTCCAATCATTATCACTTCTCTTGTGCTTGCAATTTTGTACCCCTCCAACATTTCCTCTCTTCTACTAAAAAAGTTTATCTTCTTCTTGCTTCAAAAAAAACCCATTTCTACTAATTCTCTTAAGCTGCAGAACTTTCTCTGTCTCTTCATCCACAGTCTTCTTAAAATATACTTCTCACTGCCTGCATCCATTTTCCCATAAACCAGTCTGTCCATAACTATGCGTACATACTGTAGCTTCTGACATAACCTCTCTGAATTTTCTTTCTCAAACGCTACCAATGACTTCTAATTGCCACTGGGCAGGCTAACTCAGTAGGCCTGGGTTACTCACACCCTGCACATTCCCAAGGTCAGTCTGTCCTCAGGACCAACCCATCACTGCCTCCTGAGAGCTAAACTCTGAGCCCTTGTAATATTCTGCCTGTTAAGAGTATTTTTGGTATGCCTGAAGCCTTGGGTCACAAAGTTCCTACGTGATTAAATGGTTTATGCCAACAATGTGATTTTATGATGATCTTCTTGCTCTAGGGGCTGGAAACTGAAATCAGTCATATAGGTGCTGAAATCAGTCATACATGCCTACATAAGTGACCCCCAATTAAATTTCCGGAACCAAGGCTCAAGTGAGCTTTCCCGACTGACAACATTTCTCATGTGTTGTCTCACATTACTGCTACAGGAATTAAGAGGGTCTTTGTGACTCCACTGGAAGACATTCGGAAGCTTGCTCCTGGTTTCACCTGGCTTTATACTCCATGCACTTTTTCTCTGTGCTGATTTGAATCTGTGTCCTTTTGCTGCAATAAACAAAAACCATAAATATACAACTTTTCTGAGGCCTGTAAGTCCCTCTAGCAAATCACTGAGTCTGAGAGTGGTTTGGAGATCCCTGACACACCTGCATTCAATGGCCTTTATCTGGTCCTACACTTCTACAGCATCTGAACCTGCTGAGTCAATCTCCTTAAAATTCCCTTTTCCCTCACCTCGCAGCCACCACACTGTCCTGGTTCTTTTCCTGCATCTCTGCTCATTCCTGCACTGATCTGTCTCTTTTCCTAAAGCCCTAAATGCATAGGCGTTTCAGCATAATTCCATGAGCAACTTGCTCTGGTTACCCAGGCTTGAAATCTTAAAGTAGCTATCTACTTTATTTTTCCCTCTTTGCCAAGTCCCACCACAAGTCCTCCAGAATTTCTCTCCCCTCCATTTACACTACCACCCTCCTAATTCAGGCCTTTCTTTGGCTTCTGTAGTCGCGGTCCCTTGCCACCTGCCTCTCCCACACCACATCACCCTCCCAGGCTGACAAACGCATTACAAATGTTTCTACACAACACCGAGGACCAGTCTGCCACTCCACCTTCCTCTCCTCATTCCTCACTTCAACTGACGCATTTTATGCCATGTCCTCAGTCTCTGGTTCCCCATCTCTGCACCTTGCTCTTGTTATCCCATCTCCAAGAAGACCCTTAACTTTCTGTCTACTGAAATTGTGTCCACCTCCACAGCACCTCTCTAAAGCCTGTCTTATGACTTCCATGGCACTTCAAACTTACTTTGTGGTATTTTCATGAGCACAATTATTGTGGTTAAACCAAATTAACATTTTCTCCACCACTGAAATATCTCAATTTCTTTTTAAACAACAACCAAGAAAGGGAGTGAGAGGTTACAAAAATCTTATAAATTTTACAGTCATACAGTTCTTAGAATTATGCTAGTCACTTATAATCACAGCCCTCATAGATGTAGAAATCCTTGGTACCTGCTATAGGCTAAATAATGGATCCAAAGATGTGTGCATGCTGTTCCGCAGAACCCATGTGTATGTCCCTTACATGGCAAAAGGGCCTTTGCAGATGTAATTAAGGATTTTGAGATGGAAAGATTATCCCAGATTACTCAGGTGAGCCCCACAAGTAATCACAAGTCTCCTTACAAGGAGGAGGCAGCAGGAGATTTTTCCACAGAAGAAGGCAATGGATCCATAGAAGCAAGATGCTATGCTGTTGGTTTCAGAGAATTCCTTTCTGATTAGAACCCTGGGACTCATGGTGTTCTCCAACCACTGCAGGGAACCAAATGACAGAAAGAGGGACTCCAGGAGAAGTCCTGAAAGACTATTAGCCTGCCTTGTAAATCCATACCAATTTTAATTTCCCTTTCTGTTATTTTCTGGTCCTTGTCAGCAAACAAAATAGCAATGGGAAAAAAAAAAATCTTGACTTTCATTTTAGAAAATTATGAAACTATTAGTCACATGTTCAGAAGAAAATGTGCTTTAATTCTTTTAAGAATTCGAAAGGTTTAATGTTCTTCCTCTTTAAATACCCCACCCACCCCATGCACACTGTAGCTGCAAACTAAACTTATACACAATGATACTATGTCTATGAGAAAATGAAAAGGCCAATAACTACCCCGTTCTGCTGATATTTCATGTAACAATAAAATAACATACATTCTTTTAAAAACTCATTTTCTCCCTAAAACTCGAGAAGCATGTATTGTACCCTTCCATTTCTCATCTGTTTTACTTTATACAAGCAATTAAATGGGCTCCTTTTTGCCGCCAACTTTTCATGTAACACATGCACTGTAAAACTTATTTTGTTGCTGTTGCTTTTTTTCCATAATAAAAAAGAAAACAAAGTTGCCCCTATCTGCTCTAAGGTTATCAACAGCTTAGACACGGAGTGATTAGCAGAAAAATAACTGTGCTCTAAATCAAATACTAATCTCTGCCTCTCCTTGGCCCCCCAAATTCTAGTCAGTAAGCTTAATTCACCAACTCATTATTCTCTATAAACATCTATGTCCTAGAACACTTATGTCTTGTCCTAGGAAACTAACATTTTCATAAGTTCCATTTTTATCTATTCTAAAACCCTTCCAAAAGATATAGGTCGTGCCCTCTTGGAGTTCATGCAAATTGGCTAGCTGTTGTTGTTTTTTAAATATGTAAATCATGTCTTATAGTAAGTATATCAATTTCATAATCAAAATGCAAACTGAAATAGTATTCAAACCTTATCCTTCCTTACAAACACATGAAAGAAATTATGCTCCTAACTACACTCCAGATAACAGAAATTCAAACTGGAGAAACTAAACTGAACCCCAAATTCCACACTAATACTATTTTTAAAGTTTTACTCTATTCCGTAGTCTACAACACACAATAAAAGTTCCATAAATGCAGTTCAGTAACAGGAGACACTGAAAAAGGTAAGCAAAATTTAAGAGGATTGGTTCTTTAAGATTCGATAGCAGATTATTAAGAAACTATTTACATACCATCATATCATACCATAGACAGCTGACTTTTCCTACATTTACTTTTTTTGTTGTTTTTTGGAATTTTTATATATCCACAATGTAAGACTGCACAGAAAATTACTAAGAAGCCTCCAACATCCTCTCATACTTTATGGGACAAGACTTTCTTTCCCATCCCTAGAAGTGAAGTTCAAGATGAAATCAGTCTTACAGAAATGAGTTCATATACTAACAACCAGCAGGAAACAGAGTTGAGTAGATTTAGAGGCATCCATGTGTGACAGTCATGATTCATTTTGCAAGAAGGCCCAGTCTAATCTGAACATTAGTGTTCACAAAAACAAAAATTCACTCTGAAGCTACTGTGTAAATATATTACATGATAGTGGGTTTTCCCATTTTACAACTTGTTGATCTGTGAGATGATTTCCAGAAACGCACTCCCATGTATAATGAACACTGAGTGTAGCAATATCATCTCTGTGACCCTTAAGTTTCCCATCAGAAAATGGAACTACATAATACCAACCTCATACATCTCACAGATGCGCGCACACATGCACACACACCACTTTCCATCAGAACTGCTCTAAATCTAAGTTGGGTCATACCCTTTCTTTTTTCTGTGTGCCACTATTGCGCTCTTTCTGGACAGACATTTCCTTGCTCTCTAAGAACTGCTTTCCTGATGCAACAGCCCCATCTGTACTAAAGAGCAAGATGTAGTGCAACGGTTCACTCTGGAGCCTGGAGGTTACTTAACCAGTCTGAGCATCAGTTATCATCTCTGTAAAATAAGGCCAAGCGTAAGATGCATTTAAGTAACAGGTACCTCAACAAGTAAGATGCTGAAAGGTTCACTGGAGAGTAAAACAATTCAGTGACTGAAATAAGATGCATTTAAAGTAACAGGTGCCTCATGGGTGACCCCATTCAAACTGGCACCTGGACTGACTACACAGCATAAAGAGGAACAGAATATCCCTGATTTGGTCTGCTGAAGCCTTCCCTCATAGACAGGAATGTAGGGGCTTATATAATTTGTACCCTAAAGAAATGGTTACACCAAAACCTCTCACTATGAGTTCAGATAACCACTGTAAAGAATCCAAAGTGAATATGACATGTTTTCACTCATAAGCAGGTCCTGATCACTGATCTCAGGAACACAAAGGTGGGAAAAACAGACACTGGACACTGCTAAAGGAGGGAAGGAGGGAGAATAAAGAGCACACAACCACATACTGGGTGCCTGGTCCACTATCAGGAGAGAGAGCGTCCACGTGAAGCCCAAACCTCACCCACACACAAAATTACTTACATAGTAAAACCTTACATGTACCCACAACTCAACTCAAATAAAATAAAATAAAAAGAAGCCAAAATGCAGATAAATGCTCTGAAATTCTCAACATAAATCACCCAGCTAAATGGAATCCAATGATTCAGCCTCTTCAATCTTAAGGCTTTAACAGCTGACGCTTATGTCAGCAGCCTGAGCCTTCCTGGGTTAACCTGTCACCAGAAATGCTAGGGGGAGGACAAGAAGGAAGTGGTGTTTGGAGAGTTCTGGTATCAGGTTCTTCAACCCAAACTGGCAGTGGCAGCGAAGGCAGGCAACAGCCAGCTGCATGCTTTCCCTGGTCTGCTGAAGAAGTCCTTACCTTACCCTTAATTCCTGGTTGTGATCATCAAACATCCCTATTTCAATCACTGAATTGTTTTACTCTACAATGAACCTTTCAGCAACAAAATGTCCTAAGTTGTTACATGGAATTCCTTTATAAGTCAATTACTTATTGATGCCAGAACACTGAATTAAATTAATTAGGAGGCATGGCGTGAAAGTCATGCTCAATTTAACAGCAGATAAAGGGTCCACAGTCTTGTCTAGATTAAAAAATGGAGTTCTTTCTTTCTGTGCTTACTTTTTTGGGTTTTCTCTGACCCTTCAGCAATGTTTTATGCTCAGCTGTGTACTCATAACCCAGATCACTACCACCTCTTTTTTTTTTTTTGAGTTGGAGTCTTACTCTTTGTCCCCCAGGCTAGAGTGCAGTGGCAAGCTCACCACCCCTGCAGCCTCCACCTGCTGGGCTCAGGCGATCCTTCTGCCTCAACCATCCAAGTAGCACTACCACCTCTTTAAGGGATGATGGGAAATCGCAGGTTCATTTTTCCAGGATATTGCCATCTAAGCCATAACAAAAGAATTTAGGGAAAGGGATGGCCTCTTCAAATAGCTGCCTCAGGCAGAAGTGATTATCAGTAAAGAGTACAGAGGAGACAGAAAGGAAGGTGGTTAAGAATGAGCTGGCTCGGTGGCTCAGCCTGTAATCCCGCGCCTTTGGGAGGCTGAGATGAGTGGATTGCCTGAGCCTGCGGGTTCGAGACCCGCCTGGGCAGCGAGACCTCATCTCTACAATAAATCAAAAAGTCATCTGGGCGTGGTAGCGCATGCCTGTAATTCCGGCTATTCGGAAGGCTGAGGTGGAAGGATCGCTGGAGCCCAGCAGGTCAAGGAAGCGGTGGCCAGGAGCGGCTACTGCATTCCAGTCTGGGTGACAGAGTGAGACTCCAACTCAAAAAAAAAAAGGAATTAGGATGCTATCCAGCCAGAGTGTGACAATAAAACACAAAAGGTGAGTAAATCCCTTCATATGGATTTTAAGCAATTGTTTCAAAAAGATACAAGACAGGTTGGGCGGGCACTATTAAGAAGCAGCACAATTACACTAAAGG